CTTACAACACTTCGGTGGTAGCTTCCATCAGAACAGTTAACGAGGAGCCCATATACGCAAAATTGTACCCGTACCCCATGGGAGCAGCGGATTTTGTCAACAACGAAATTCAGGATCTGCTAAGAAATGGAATAATTCAAAAGTCGGCATCCCCCTACAACAACCCAATATGGGTGGTAGACAAAAAAGGGACCGACGAAAGTGGAAATAAGAAAATGCGGCTAGTCATCGAATTAAATTAAATGAAAGGACCGTGTCCGATAAGTACCCCATGCCAAATATTTCAATGATATTGGGGAATCTCGGCAAAGCGAGGTATTTCTCAACGCTGGACCTTAAGTCTGGCTATCACCAGATTACGCTCGCGGAACGAGACAGAGAAAAAAGCTCGTTCTCAGTAAATGGGGGTAAATATGAGTTTAAAAGGCTTCCGTTTGGTCTCAAAAATGCAGCCAGAATTTTTCAGAGGACCATAGATGACATCCTACGAGAGCAAATAGGTAAATTTTGCTATGTTTACGTTGACGACGTAATAATATTCTCGGAGGACGAAAACTCTCACGTTAAACACGTAGATTGGGTTCTAAGAGGCAAACATGAGAGTGTCGGTAGAAAAGTCGAGCTTTTTTAAGAAAAGTGTCAGCTTTCTTGGGTTTATAGTCACTTGTAATGGTGCTACCACTGACCCAGAGAAAGTAAAGGCCATCAAGGGATTTCCGGAGCCCAAGAATGTATTCGAGGTACGGTCATTTCTGGGCCTGGCTAGCTACTACCGATGTTTTATTAGGGATTTTGCGGCAATAGCAAGACCTATCTCGGAAATCTTAAAAGGGGAAAACGGAACAGCTAGTAGACACAGGTCACGAAACATTCCGGTACAGTTCTCTGAAGCGCAAAAACAAGCGTTTCAGAAGCTTCGAAATATCTTGGCGTCTGACGATGTCATGCTGAGATACCCCGATTATAAAAAGGCATTCGATCTAACGACAGATGCCTCGGCCTATGGCATTGGTGCAGTGCTGTCCCAAGAGGGACGTCCGATTACAATGATCTCAAGGACATTGAAGGGCAGAGAGGTTAACTATGCTACCAACGAAAGGGAGCTATTAGCCATAATTTGGGCACTGGCCAAACTAAGGCATTATTTATACGCGGTCAAAGATATAAACATCTTCACCGACCATCAGCCATTAACCTTTGCAGTATCGGAATCCAATCCGAATGCAAAGATTAAAAGATGGAAAGCGGGCATTGACGAATCCGGAGCGCGAATATTTTACAAACCCGGTAAGGAAAATCTAGTTGCCGACGCACTCTCGCGACAACAACTTAATGTCATGGAGGAGCAAGAAGCTGAATCGTGCGCGGCCACTATACACAGCGAACTCTCCCTGACACACACAATCGAGACGACGGAAAAGCCATTAAATTGCTTCCAAAACCAAATAATCTTGGAGGAGGCACGCTTCCCGTCAAAACGCAGCTTCGTCCTTTTTGGTAACAAGAGACGGCATGCGATTAATTTTTCCTGCATAGAGAGTTTACTTGATGAGCTCGCAGATGTAATCGTTCCTAAAGGCGTAAACGCTATCTATTGCGACTTGCACACGTTGGCAATGGTACAGGACGAACTGGTTCGGCAGTTTCCGGCCACAAAATTTTGGCATTGCAAAAATCGTGTAACAGACATTTTTGCAGTCAGCGAAAGACGTGAAATCCTCACCGTCGAACACAACAGGGCCCACAGGTCATCCCAGGAAAATGTAAAGCAGGTACTCTCCGAGTACTACTTTCCAAAAATGGCCAAATTAGCTACCGAAATCGTAGCGAATTGCAGGACTTGCGAGAGAGCCAAGTACGACAGGCACCAAAGAAACAGGAGCTCGGCGAGACACCGATCCCCTCTCATGTAGGAGAAATGTTACATATTGACATTTTCTCTACAGATAAAAAATACTTCCTTACTTGCATCGACAAGTTTTCGAAGTTTGCCGTCGTGCAACATGTCCACTCAAGGACAATTGAAGACCTCAAACCGGCCCTACTACAAATTATGAATTTCTTCCCAAGAGCTAGGGTAGTCTACTGTGATAATGAACCATCATTAAATTCACACACTATCTCAGCAATGCTCGACAGCCATTTTGGCGTTAGCATTGCAAATGCACCGCCCCTCCACAGCGTCTCAAACGGGCAAGTAGAGCGCTTTCATAGTACCCTTGTGGAACTTGCGCGATGCCTGAAAATCGACAAGGGAATGACGGACACTGTTGACATAATTTTATTGGCCACCGCCAAATACAATAAGTCGATATACTCGGTTGTTAACAAACGACCAGCCGACATTGTGCAAACACACCCAGACGACCCGCAGATGGAAGTCCAAAATAAAATAATACAAGCCCAAAACACTCTCAGGACTAGGGAAAATGCCTCCCGGCAAAACAGAGTATTCGAGGTCGGCGAAAAAGTCTTGGTCAAAACAAACCGAAGACTTGGCAATAAACTCACACCGCTGTGTGAGGAGAAAGACGTTGAAGCGGACCTGGAGACCACGGTCCTCATTCAGGGGAGGGTGGTCCACAAAGATAACCTAAAATAGGATTAATTTTTTACATATTTAGCCACTTGGCAACCGTTTACTTATTTTTTTTTGTTAAGTTGGAATAATAGTAGAATAGTATACGAAACAACAAACATGTGTGACAAGTTTCCCCAATCGCACATGAGAAAGTTTCTGGAAGTAGATACCGCGCATATGCGAGACCTACTGGAAGCTTAGATTTTTTGGGATCAATCTTAAAGGTAGTAGCAGGAACACCGGATGCCGGTGATATGGAGAAGACAAGATTTACGGAAATGCAGCTAATAAACGCAAACAACAGACAGGTGGAAACTAACACTAAAGTTCAAAGTAAAATCAATCAATTGACCGCCACAGTAAATCAAATCCTCACGGTTACAAAAAATAAACAAATTGACACAGGCCATTTATATGAAACCCTCCTTGCTAGAAATAGAATGCTAATGATGGAACTACAGAACCTTATGCTTGCAATTACATTAGCTAAAATTAATATTGTCAGCCCAAATATATTTGACCACGCAGACCTAAAGTCAATTTGGCTTGAGGAACCCACTAACACCCCCATAAGGGATCTTTTGTCCGTAGCGTCCGTTAAAATATTACAATCTGCCAATTCCTTGCATTTCATAGTTAAGTTTTCAAAGGTAAAGTTCGCCTGTAAGAAAGTCACAATATTACCCGTCACTCACCATAATATCATGCTGCGGATACCGAACAATGTTGTGGCCACATGTGGTGGAGAAGTCCACACCGTTAAGGATTGTACCGTGTCGCCAGGAGCTACGTTCTGCCAAATATCATCAGGCAGCTCTTGCGCTAGAGAACTCTATGCAGGTGTTTTGGCGCACTGCGAGACCCAACCAACCGACTTACAACCCGTAACTCGAGTCGATGAAGGAATAATCATTGTCAACGACCAAACAGCTAAAGTCCGGGTAGACAATGGTACTGAGGTCTGGCTACACGGTACTCACCTTGTCGCATTTGAAGATTGCGTCTCCATCAACGAAACCCTCTACGTAAATCATGACAAGATCCAAAGAAGAACTCCAGGAGTTGCAAGCTCACCATTGCTTAACATTACCATCAATCACGACGTATTGAGCCTCCCTTACCTTCATCGATTAAACGAACGTAATGTGGAGCACATTCGAGAGTTCGACAAGGATATTGGGACCTATCAAAAATATCGCGCAATGCTCATAGTAGGAATTCTATGTTGTGCGATGATTGCCATTGTCATGATCTATCTCCATTTCTTCAAGGCAAGAAGATCTGCGGCACAGCTGAAGGAAGTCATCACCGAGATAGCGGCGGCCGAGGGCGGCCTTAATTCAAAGGGGGGAGTAGTTAACAAGTCAACATAAACCAGCAAAAGTCAATGGACCAGCCGCTGACTTTTGTTGTTATTTAGCTTCGGACGAAACTGCTGATCCAGCTTTAAGCCCGGATGCTCGTGCACAGACGGCAAGCACTGCATATTTGCGTGGCCGCTGTGAGTCTTTTGTTAGCTTTAAGTTTCTTTTCAATTCAGTTTATATCAAAGCCTTGAATAAAGAGCACCAGCTCTGATAATATTTAACTCCGGCTACCGCCGTTAAAGATCTTATTATTTCACACTGACTGAGTCTCTAGGCCAGCAGGTAAAGAAGGGCAGTCACCCTTCCACCCTATTCTTCCTAATTTATCGACGGATGACAACAGCCAACCGGCTACCTTCACGGAGACGGCTGCGAGGGAACCTCTACGGAGTAAACTACTAATTTATACCCTGACAGACTCGGCAGCGGTAGGATTTTATACCTCGAGAACATCTGCTGACAAGTGTCTGGGAAGTGCGTGGGCGAGGACAAGGAGCCATTCTGAACCTTTACTTGGAAGAGAAAGCAAAACAACAAACAAATCAGAAAAGGAGTCGCTTGAGTGATGTTTACGGGGTGGGCAGCGGGAAGGCATTATTGTGGAGATTTAGAGGTTGCCTTAGCCTCCATAGGAAGGAGAACTAATTTGTGGACCGGACGTCGGATGGTTCCACGAGAAGTAAGAATATCTACGACGCGTACTCTAGTATCAGCTCCTGAGATAGCAGCTACGATTCTGCCGAGCCGCCAGTCATTTGATGGCAAGTTATCGTCATTAACGACTACCATATCGTCGACTTGGAAATTTCTGGATGGCCTTAGCCACTTGTTGCGCTTGTGGAGTTCCTTTAGATACTCTTCTTTACATCGTGAACTAAATTGTTGATGCTGGGCCTTGAGATGTCGCCATCGATTTATAATCGACTTTGCTTCGCCTTTGATTTCAGCCTCCGCCGTGGAAAGCAACGGACCCCCGATCAGAAAATGGCCTGGCGTCAGTGCCAGCAAGTCTGTCGGGTCCTCTGACATTGGAGAAAGAGTTTTAAAACTCTTTACTCCTGCCTTCCACAGGCCTCCCATATGAGGAGCTCCTGGGGGTATGAAACGCCACACGAGTCCCTGATGGCTAAAGACTCCTTTAGCGCTTGCGTAAAGTCACGGGAAAGAAGACTTGAGGCGCCAACAATAGTTTTGCCGTTGTCGGAATGGACCCGCTGAGGACAACCTCGTCCAGCTACAAAACGTGCAAACGCTGCTAGAAACTTCTCAGTTGGAAGGTCGGCGGTGGGTTCCAAATGGATGGCCTTCGAAGAAAAACACACAAACTTATCCCTTAGTGATGAGACATGCTCTCCCTGTGTAGTTTTCAACTTCAAAGGGGCCGGCGTAATCGACGCCGGTTTAAGTAAATGGCCTGGAAAAAGAGGCTCGATCAGTCGGAAAATCAACAATCAATTGGGTTTGCAGTCTTTTTTTTATAAATGGTGCACACCTTGCAAGAATTCCCTCCCTTTACCAGATTCTTGACTTTAGGAATGCAATATTTGGATCGCACCAAGCGCACTATCAATTGGTTGCAGCTATGAAGTGTAATCTGGTGCGTGAATTGGACAAGCAGACAAGATAGCCGACAGCTGTACGGGAGTATTACAGGATGGCGCTCGTCATACTGCAGGACCGTGGAGGCAGTTAAGCGACCACATGCTCTTAAGAGCCATGTTGCTCTACAAATGGAAATAAATTAGCAAATTGGCTTGATGCGGGTATGAAACTTTTACTTCGCAACAATCGAAGCTGGAGCGCGTACTCTTCACGCTGGGCAAGTATTATGTAGGTTTTCTCAGCTTCCCGGATTTCCCGATTACTGAGCTGCCTATCCGGACTTACCGGAGCCTTCCGACAGCGATTCAGGAACCTTTGGACGTAAGCTAGGACTCGTAATACCTTGTCTAGTCTGGAGAAACGTTCAAGGAAATCATCAGCGGGAAGATTTACGAAATGAACCTTCACCGCGCGCTGCTCTAACTCAGTGACTGGGTGTGGATCCGAAGTTTCTGGCCATTGAAGTTTGGGCAGTTGTAACCATTGAAGCCCATGCCACCAGAGGGTGCTATCGCCCAACTCTTGCAGGGACACGCCGCGACTAGCTAGGTCGGCAGAATTGTGTTCTGATCGCACATGTGACCAATTCTCAATCTTTGTAGCTTGAGCTATTTTGGTTACGCGGTTGGCTACGAATGTGGTCCAGGAGCAGGCTGGTTTTTTTAACCATGCCAGGACAATGGTGGAATCTGTCCAGCAGAAAATCTCAGAGCTGTCTGACAACATATTTGGATGTGCGAGGAAAATAACGATGATTTGAAAATAATATTCTGCAAGATATTTGCAGTTGGTTGCTGTGCTGCGAAAATGAGCTGTAGGAATCGGAAAAAAAATATATACATTTGCGCACCGTCACGGCTTGCACAAAAAAATGTATTTATTTATTTTTATTTAATGGATGTGAGCCGACGGTGTGTGCGAATTAGCGCAGCTGAAATAAATATCATGCAAATTCTGGAAAGGCGTGTCGTGGTGATGGGTTCGGTGGAATCGAGTTATTTTTGGTAATTTGTACAATATATAATTATAATATATATTAATATATGTATCTTAATCAGCATGCATCAGGATTATATGTGTGTATATAGTACTTCTTATATTTGGAAATTATAAATTATGTGGACTGTATTGTAAATGTCGACTTCGAAATGTTTGTAGGGTGTACCGCGAAAGAACGTATGTGGGTTATCGTGCTTACGTTGACTACGTTACGCTACGACTTTTCCCCTTATGTTCATATGTTGAAATGGATATGTAGATATGTACTATGTATGTATCGGCGTATGGATATGTGTGTTTGTGGGAACTGTATGTATGTGTATAAATTGTAATTTAAAATTGTAATTTGTAACAAATTTGGAAATTGGAGATAATGTGGACTGTATGGTAAATGTCCCTGTATACATTTTTGTAGGGTGTACCGCGAATGGAGGTACGTGTATGTTTCCTTAAGTACATATGTTGAGATGGTCTGGCATATGTACGTACATTAAAGAGTGTGCATCTGGATTATATGTCCGTATGAACAAGAATATGGAAATGGGAAAATATGAAGAAAGAGGCCGTAAATGGCGACCGTATCAAGATGGAAATAGCAATACGAAAAAGAAGCCGGAATATGGCGATCGTATGAAGATGGAAATAGCAATACGAAAAAGAAGCCGGAATATGGCGATCGTATGCACAATGGAATGGGCCGATCAGACAGATATAAGAAATTGGATTGGAAAAATTGGAAATATCTGGCTGGTCGGCAGAAATGAGTATAAATAAGAACGGTCGTACTTATCTTGAATGATGGAAGAGAAATTTGGGAAAATCCGCCGGTTGAACGCTGGTGCTTGGAACTTCTTCTCCTCTTCTGGAATTATTCGGTCGATAGATCATGAAATGGTGAGATGCGGGCTTTCCAACGGGGTTGAGTTAGTAGTCCAGGAAAATGATTTATTTTTCACTTTATTTCAAAAACTTGTCGAACTTCACTTCCTTCTTTGTACACTTGTAAATTAGAACTAATTTAAAGCTACGGGGTGGATGCTTCAAGAGCCGCTTGGAGAGCGGAGTGGAGACACTTAACAGTGCGAGAGAACGAGATGCGAATATCTGGAAAAAACTGTTTTCTCGACTGTTAGGACTCCAGGGCCGGTTCACTCGAAACTGGAAGCGCCGCTTTGGCGCGAACAGGGTATTATCAATAATCGAAAAAGGAGCTGAGCCTCTACTAATAAATGAATTCGAATATGAGTACATGAATAGGTACAACTTATGCTTTTCTCCCTTGATACATTGCTCAAGTACTCAGAAGGCGATAGTATTGAGCACCGTCCCGACCCTAAAAATTAAATCAGTTATTAACAATAACAAGATACTTGGAAGACATCTTTCATTGATGGTTTCAAGAATCTAGAAAAAATTGCATTAAATAATGGAATGGGACGAATTATATAAAGAACTAAATAATATAAAAATTGACTTTGACAGATCATATAAGTCACAATCAAGACCCCGGCCAGCACAGCAAAACACTGTGAACGAGCATGCCGAAATATTAGTAACCCGCTTCAATACAGCACGTATACTAATACACGATCAGAGAGATAGGCTAAACAAAGCCCATTGGTCTCAGGTATCAAAATATTTAAACAAATTACGGGATAACCTTATAGCTATAAAGTAAAGGTACGACTTAACAATTTCAGTACCAACTATCATAAACACACCGTTGAAGATAGAAGCTAGAGAAGAGTCAGAATCATCAGATCCACCAGTACAAGCTGAGGCTGACGACCCTATCTCTACAGATCCCGATATAGAGGAAAAAGATATAAACAACCTCACTATTCCGGCAGTCCTTATTCAATCTGAATTATCAGACCAGGAATCGACCGACTCGGATTCTCACAACAGCATTGTAGAAATAAATCCAACCACAATGGCTGAGGGGATAATTGCCCAAAGGGCATACATTAAAGATATATCGAATGCCATCACGGAGTTTAACGGGCAAAGGATACACCTTCAGAGAATCGTAACAGCTTTGAAGTTGGTTAACCTTACGAAAGGTACATTCGAGGATTTGGCTGTAGAAGTTATCAAATCCAAAATAATTGGATCGACATTATACAGAGTCCAAAACGAAACCACAATAGAAGCTATAATTAAAAAACTGCAAAATACTAAGCTAAAATGGCAAAAACAATCCAAAAAGGTAAAACTGCAGAAAAATTCACCACAGAAATTGACAACCTACGAAAGCTCCTTGAAGCTTCTTATATTGATGAAGACCTATCGGCCGAACACTCTGACAAATTCAGCACCAAGAAAGCCATCACCACCAATGGTCAAAAATTGTGAGCATAGCCGCCTCAAAACAATATTGGAAGCAGGCAATTTTGCAACCATGAACGAAGCCGTCGCCAAGTACATACAATGTAGTACTGAAATGACAGGCAATGCCAATTCCACCACCCAACGTGGAAATAATTATCGCGGGATAATTCGGGAAACTCCGTACCACCTTTAGATACACGACAGTAAAGAACACAAAAAATCACACTCTAAATCTCAGTCAAAATACATCCGTCACTTTCATGAACGTAGCAACAGGAAAAGAATTAGTTTTCCTACTAGACACAGGTGCGGAAATATCCATATTGAAGGAAAATTCCGATAATTTTCAAAACATTCAAGATAATCACATCATAAACATACAGGGTATAAGTCAGGAAGTTACCAAATCAAAAGGGTTATCTTCTATTGAAATTCAAACTTCAAAGTACATAATTCCACATGATTTCCATATCGTAAATATGCAATTCGCTATTCCATGTGATGGAATACTAGGAATCGATTTTATCAAAAGATACAACTGTCAATTAGACAGTCTGAATACTGGCTTATAATAAAACCAAATAACCTAAAATATCCAATTTATGTTCCAATAGCATACAGTTCTGGCAACAAGTCGTCCGAAAAATCGAAATAAATCAGAAGAAGACAGTGTACTAATTCCGAATCAAGGAATTCAGTATGGTATCTATATCGCAAATACCATAGCAACAGTCCAAAATGCATATATAAGATTACTAAATACCACAAACATAGATCAAGTAGTTTATATCAAAAATATTCATCATGAACAACTTTCAAACTATGAAGTAGTAAAAACTGACTTAGAAACCAGACAAAAAATTGTATTATCTAACTTGCAAAAAACTTCCCGCCTCAATTCAATGAACAACTTACAACATTATGCACACAGTATAGTGATGTATTCGGACTAGAAACCGAATCGATCACTACCAATAATTTTTATAAACAAAAGCTGAGATTAATTGATGATGAACCCGTATATATAAAAAATCATAGAAATCCTCATGGTCAACAAGACGAAATTCAAAAACAAGTCCAAAAACTCATCAATGATAAAATAGTGGAACCCTCTCTATCACCTTATAATAGCCCACTTTTGTTAGTACCAAAAAAGTCACTTCCAAATTCGGAAAATAAAAAATGGCGATTAGTAATTGACTATCGTCAAATTAATAAAAAACTGTTGTCTGATAAATTTCCACTCCCTAGAATAGATGATATTTTAGATCAACTAGGTAGAGCAAAATATTTCTCATGCCTTGACTTAATGTCAGGTTTTCATCAAATTGAACTGGAAAAAAGTTCACGGGATATAACATCCTTTTCAACAAGCAATGATTCGTATCGCTTCACGCGATTACCATTCGGTTTAAAAATAGCGCCAAACTCTTTTCAGAGAATGATGACTATAGCTTTCTCTGGATTAGAACCTTCGCAAGCATTTCTTTATATGGATGACTTAATAGTCACAGGTTGTTCCGAAAAACATATGCTCAAGAACTTAACTGATGTTTTCGAGAAATGTAGGAAACACAACCTAAAGTTACATCCTGAAAAATGTTAATTTTTCATGCATGAAGTCTCTTTCTAAGGACATAAATGCACAGATAAAGGAATCTTGCCTGACGACAAAAAATACGACGTAATTCAAAATTATCTAGTCCCACATGATGCGGATAGCGCTAGAAGATTCATTGCATTTTGCAATTATAACAGACGTTTTATAAAGAATTTTGCTGAATACTCCCGTCACATAACAAGGTTATGTAAGAAAGATGTAAAATTTGAATGAACAACACACTGTCAAAATGCCTCCGAACATCTTAAATCAGCATTAATAAATCCTACTCTGTTGCAATACCCAGATTTTAGTAAAGAATTTTGCTTAATCACAGATGCTAGCAAATACGCAGTCCTAACTCAAAACAAAAATGGACTACAGCTTCCAGTTGCATACGCATCAAGATCCTTTACAAAAGGTGAAAGCAACAAGAGCACTACAGAACAAGAATTAGCATCCATTCATTGGGCAATAACACACTTCAGACCATATATTTGTGATAGACACTTCACTGTCAAAACAGACCATACTTATTTTCAATGGTAAATCCCAGTTCCAAACTAACACGAATGAGACTTGAATTGGAGGAATATAATTTTACGGTAGAGTATCTAAAGGGTAAAGATAACTATGTAGCCGATGCGCTCTCTAGAATAACCATCACAGACTTAAAAAATATACAAAAAAAACCATACAATTTTGAAAGTCACTACCAGAAACCAAAGTAGACAAAAATCCTGCGCAGGAAAAGAACAAATAGAATTGCATAAGCAATCTCTAGAAAAAGCTTCAA